CTTCAGAAGGAGGTTGAGATGGACGATTTCACAGATGCTCATCACGAGTGCCCAGGAGTACAGAAGAAGACTTTGATGAACTGGGGACAGTGAGGGGAGGGGAGGAGTGTACTGGGCTGTGGAAGAAGGCTCAGCGTGTGGACGGACCATGAGACCATGAGGACCGGAGAGACTTGAGCCTCCTAAGGGACTCGTGAACAGAGCGGGCCTGTGGGGTGGTGGGTCCCTGAGCCATAGTGTGTGCGGGCGTGTGGATACTGGGGAAAGGAGGAGGGGATGGCTCCGTGTCCGTGAAGCCAAAGGCTTTCTCTCTACTCTCGCCATGTGCCCTTCCCAGAGTATCTGTCTGTCTCTGCCCCCAGCAGCCCCTCTCTGCTCCCCCTCCGTTCACCTCATCCCTTTTCTCAAGGCCCTGCTTCATCTACCCTTGCATGCCCCTCCCTCCCCATGCTCTGCCTTTCTCTCCCCACTTACTCTCCTTTCTCTCTGTTTCTGTCCCTCTCTCCACGTCTGTCAGTCTATCTACTTTAGACTCTGTATAATAATAACTTACATTTTTCTAAGGCCCATCATGTCTTAGGCATTTTCTAGATTCCTTTATATTATTGTGACTATTGTTTTGCAGCTTAGATCACTCAGCAGTGTTTTCTGTTCAGTTGGCAGAGCCATGGAACTACAGAAGCAGCGCCACCCTAAACACTTATCCACAATCTCTTCTGTGAGTCCAGAACCTCAGGACTCTGCCAAGTTGCGCCAGAGTGTGCAAGCCCCGGAGGGAACAGACGCTGGATACCTGCCTGCTAATCCCATGTCCTCTGTGGCTGTAGGGACCACTGTTTCCCAGGAAGGAGGCAAAGAGAATGATCTGGGTGAGTCAGTGCTGTTGTTCAACTCAGTACTGTGATTTAAAAACAGACTCTCTGCCTGAGAAACCTGCGACATGTCCTGTTAGTCAAGGCTGAGTCCAGTTTCATGTAAGCATCTTAACATTCCACAACCAGTGGCAGGTACGTCAGAGCAAAGTGTGGCCTTGAGCTGGTCTTGACTCACAGCCACCTCGCGTGGTACAGAGTAGAACTGCTCGGCACGGTTTTCTTGGCTGTAATCTGTATGGAGGCAGATGATCTTTCTCGTGGGGTCATGGGATGGGTTCTAACTGATAACCTCTGTCTGGCTAGTAGCCACGCACAAACCACTCGCCCTGCCCAGAAACATCGTGACAGGCATTTGCTGAGGGATAATTTCTAGTTCTTATTCACTCAAAAAATGCCTTGTGAGCTCTCTGCCAGGCATCTGGCGTTGGCTGTGTATGCGATGGTAGTGTGCTCCAGTGATGTCCAGCTGCTCCCGGGGCCCTGTGCTCAGCCCAGTAAAGGGACGGGAGAGGCGGCGGTGAGGTCAGCAGTTGAAAGCAATATAGGAGAGAGGGGTCCATGGAAGACTTTTTAAAAAGGCCTAGACTTTATTTTTATGTTAAGGGGAGCCAGTTGGGAAGCAGAGGTTGAAATGTGGGAGACGGAAATGGTCAGCAGTGGAACAGATTGAAAGGAGAGGGGATGCAAAAGGCATGTGAATGCAAGGTCACTGGCGAAAGGGGGGGTTTAAGAGAGGCCCAGGGAGCTGCCGACTGAAGAGCCATGCAGAGTAGTTGTAGGTGGTTTCTCTAATAAGGCTGTTCCATACTTTTAATGACGCTTGAAAGCCTTTTGATGGTAGCGCTTTCTAGACTCCCATCAAGTGAGCTGGGAAGATGGGAGGTTTGGGTTAAAGAAGGACATGCCTGTCTCTGTCAGTGATTTTTGAGGTGGACTAACATTCTGGTGATGACAGCATCAATAAGGCTATTAGTATGGGTCTCTGGGGTGGCATAGAGAAGAATTATTAGCAATGAAGAAGTCAAGGAGCCGAGGATTTGAATAGCTTACCACCCATGGCCCCAGGGGTCACCTTGGTTGCTATCAGCTTGGAGAGAAAGCTAAGCCAGCAGCCAAGGTTTCATGCTGTTAGTGGGGAGAAGGACAGGTGGTGAGGGCTAGAGCGTGCGAGCCTCCGTGTGGCCAGGTGGTGTAGAAAGCGAGGCCGCAGGATAGTTGGCTAACACCAGTCCTGAGGAACAAAAAGTTTATCCCTGAGGTGCACCGTATATTGTGTGACGGAAACACGAGTGTCTGTCTGAAAGAGCTGTGACAGGAGGGGGCTGTCTTTTTTTGGGGGGAGGGGAGGCGTTAGAGATAAAGGGATGGGATCATCTCTGTTTAAGACTGAGATGTTGGGGCGACATTTGGAAAGAAGCCTAGGGTGTTGTCAGGTGTGGAGTTCTGAAGATGTTGGTTTAAGTATATTCGGACTCAGTTGATATTTTAAGACTCCCTTGAAATAAAAACATAGTAGATAGAGCAGCGGTTCTCAATCTGTGGGTCGCGTCGAATAACCCTTTTACAGGAGTCACCCGATTCATAGATTCATAACAGTTGCAAAATGACAGTTATGAAGTAGCGACAAAAATAATTTTATGGTTAGGGGGTCACCACAACATGAGGAACTTTATTAAAGGGTCACAGCATGAAGAAGATTGAGAGCCACTGAGATAGAAGAATAAACAAAACTTCCCAGTGAAAGGAAGTGGAGGAAGGGAAAATATGATTAGTAACAGAGATTTCGATAACTATTTGGGAGACAGAAAGTAAAGTTTGATAGGCAAAAGAATTGAAAAGGAAACCCATACCCCTCGTTGGTGTGATGGCACCAGGTGGGAGTCTTGAGAGACTTTGGTCTCAGAATTGACAGGGGTTGTCGAGCCTGTGAATAAGAAGTCAAGCTGGAAGAGATGAATAACTCAAAGGTCTTTCATGAAAGCAACTGGCACCTGCATTGCTGACGCTAAGCCGTCTGTCTGTAGTGTCCCCTGCCATAGAGAAGGCACTGTTTCCCAACCACGCCACAGCCAGCACTGAAACCCAGAGTTCCCGAGAATGAAGTCAAGGGTTTAATTCAGACTGTCGACCAGCAGCCTTAAGGGCTAGAGAGATGAGAGAAAAGAAACATAGATAAATATTACAGAGCTCCAACACCCGTGCACTTGGACAGAAAGTCCAGAGAAAGGGGATGAGATGCAGTTAATGAGAAACAAAATGTATTGGGGAACACGTTTTCACATAGGAAGGGCTCCCCAAGAACCAATTATGATGAATACTTTTTAAAAGACGTAGGCCTAAAATGTCCTTGGAAAGTTCAGAGTGCCCGGCATAGAGAGGAAACAATTCTAAAAGAAGCTGCTTTCTTTTTTTGTATTTTTTGAAAAAAGCTCCTAATTGGGGGCCGGGGGGCGGGGAGCAGAAGAGATTATACCCATCATTCTCTTCTTCACTACTCTGGGTGCAGAGTGTGCAGATGCACACTACTTTCAACTTTCAGAACTGGTCTTGAGCTGCGAGATCTGTATTCATCCAAATGCAAAAGCAGGCAGACTGGTTGCCTTCGAGTTGAATTCCAGGCACAGCAGTCCCATGTCGAGTGGAGCTAACTGCCCCAGAGGGTTTGCTAAAGGAAGCAGGCGGCGGAACATCTTTCCTGTGGTGGCTGGTCTTTCCCTGTGGGTAGCTTGTGGGTGGCTGGTCTCTCCCTGTGGGTGGCTGGCAGACCCCTCCTTTCTTTTGCGAGTGCATTGCTCACGTTCTCTGATGACCTTTGCATCCATCACATTACCCACTAACTAGGAAGACCAGGGTCCAAAGCTTAATCAGAATGCAGTCTTTCCTTAGAAATCACTTAAGGATACTGGACACACAGTCCAGCAAAGTGAGAGAAAAATTAGGACAGGAAGTTTCAGTGGCTACAGGGAACAGCACAGGAGAGCAATGCAGGACTGGTTTGGATCTTGTCTTTTGTCACAGACCACTGCCGGTGTGTATTGGAGCCCCCAAATATAGGGAACTTTTAAAGAAAGGGGTCAGAGGTAAGCAGTTGCTAATATGATGTAGCAGATGAAAAAAATTGAGACCTTGTATTATTTTGACAACAATACAAAATAAAATATAAGGAAAAATAGAGAGCTGCTTAAGAAAACATCACAATTTCAACATGAAGCAAGATTTAAATTGTCATGATCTTAAAGCACCTGCTAAATATAAGACTGCTTCCACATTCTGTTTCAAGTGGCCCCAGGATTGCATCATTATAATCTACAGGATTGGACCAGTAGAAAGGAAAATATCCGAGCTAGCATAACCTACTAGGAATAATAACCTATAATGTGTATGACAATATGCATAATACTGTGAACACTCTTTACTGGTTTTCAGACTTTTCGACTCATTCTATGACAAAACACAGAATATTATTTGTGGCTACAGAAATCCTGTTAGTGGTAAAAGTAAAAATGTAGATGAAAGAAGTGGGATATGGACACTCAGTACCGAGTGTGATATGAACAGCCGAGAGACTAACTCCTTGCTAGATCAGAAATAGAGCCATAATTCTTATCTACCACTCACTGACTGACGCCCACACTTCAACTCTTCACATCGGCAGCAATAGTACAGGTGCTCACGTTCTCTGGTTATTTTGTCCGTGAAAGACAAAAACCTGATAGTCACGAATGCTGAGTTGGAGAGTAATGCTGGCTGTGCTGATTAAGGTAACGGGTTAGCTTGGCTGTGCTTTGGCAGTTAAGTATGATGTAATTTGGTAGTTACATAATGATGAAAATTTTGTCACCGTCCACGTTGTGATATGGTCATTTTTCATTTTTGCACAACACCGGTTGTAAATAACGATCTCATCTTTGGAACATGTCCTTAAGTGAATGGTATATACCATTTTAACTTAGATGATAACTCATCATACAGTTAATGATAATACAGTTATTAAACGTTGAGAGGAGATGGGGGAGTGAAAGTGGCTAGTATATGTGAATAAAATCACCAGAGGGAAGCAAGAGATATTACATGAAAGAGAGTAAGTCGGGAAAAGATGGATGAGGCTATTTCTTGATGTTGGAACTCCAAAAGCCCTCACGCTGGAAATGATGAGAAGGGTCAGCCCTGGGGGTGTAAAAGGACAGGCTAGGGGAATGTTTCTCCAGATTTTGAACTCTTTTGAATTATTGGAGGTGATGCCATGTTTTATACTAATTTATTTTTTAAGTTACTCAAAGATTATTTTTACATTTAGTTAA